CACCCACCCATCTATCACCCATCCATCCAACCATCCAACCATCCATCTATCTATCCATCTATCCATCCATCATCCGTCCAAGAGAAGGTGAGACAGATCTGCTCACTCCCCTACTTAAAAGTCCCCCATGGCTCCCCAGCCTAACCCAGCCCCTCATCACAGCCCTAGGGCCCTGCGACCTCCTTGCTTATGTCCTGTCATCTTTCTTTGCTCCTTGATTCTCTGCTCTAGCTACACTGGAGTGAGTCTGTGGCTCTCCATGCTTGCTCTCACTTCTGGGTCTTGTACTTGGCATTCCCTTTGCCTGGGTCTTTGCTTGGCTTGCTCCCACTCTTGCTCTGGTCACTATCTCAGTTAGCGCTCACCATGTAACAAATCATTCCACAATCTAGTGCAGGACAACAAACATTTATTATTTCTTGTGGTTCTGTGGGTCAGCTGGGGCTGAACGGTCTCTTCATTCACATGGCGATTGGCCAGTGTCAGCTGGGATGATGGGGATGGGCCACGTGTCTGTCCTAATGGAGCAGGCTGGCCTGGCAAGATTGCAGGACCTGAGACCAGTGGGGGGACAAGCTCCAGGCGCAAGTGCCCTTTAGACCTTGACTGTGTCACCTTGGTTGACATCCCATTGGCCCAAACAAAGTCCCATGGCCAACCCAAGGGCTTGGATAGGGGGAGGAATGACTTGCAGCCATGTTTACAGTCTGTCAACAGCATATCGTTTCTCTCCCAGAAGTACCCACTGTAACCTGCTAGAATTATTCATCTATGCTCATGCAAATACATACACACACTGTATATACATGCATGTGTGCCCGTGTTCCTCCTTGACCCCTTGTCCACATGAATGGTGACTCACCAAGACCTCTGTTCTACACCTTGTTTTTGCTACTTAATGATGGACCTTGGAGATAATCTCATATAAATACATTAAAAAATTCTTGTCTTTTTTACAAATGCATACTCTTCGATTCCAAGAACCATGAATTGCTTATATTTAGCAAGAAGACAGGGCACCCAGTTAAATGAAAAGTTCCAATGAACACCAATAATTTTTGGTATAAGTATGCCCCATGCACTATTTGGGACATACTTATACTGAGAAAATATTCATGGGGCGCCTGGGTGGCTCAGTCATTAAGCGTCTGCCTTCGGCTCAGGTCATGATCCCAGGGTCCTGGGATTGAGCCCCGCATCGGGCTCCCTGTTCCGCGGGAAGCCTGCTTCTCCCTCTCCCACTCCCCCTGCTTGTGTTCCCTCTCTCACTGTGTTTCTCTCTGTCAAATAAATAAATAAAATCTAAAAAAAAAAAGAAAATATTCATTGTTTAATGGCAATTCCAATTGAACTGGGGTCATGTATTGAATCTCACAAAACTGGATGCGTTGTATTTTAGGGTGTCTCTAATTTCTTGCTAATTTGTTCAGTGCCTCGGGTCCCTGCAGGAAGGGAGGGTGTGTGCAAAAGGTGTACCTGAGGGGCAGGACTCACAGAGGAGGGCCAGGTATAGGGAACCAGCCCCTGGGGCTAGCATGAGGGGGAGCTTGGGGGAAAAGGGAGTGGGTGGGTGCTGACCCACTGGGGCTGTTTGGGGGCAGCAAACACCTGCCCACCTGTTTCCCTTCTAGTCCTGCAGGCTCTGAGCCCTGTGGAGAGGGCGGGACATGGGCCACCCCACATGGCGACTTTGCACACACTGGCAGCCCTGGGGCTGATGTATCTGTGGGGTAAAGTCCTAAAAGTGGAGTTTCAAGGTCAAAGTGTGTGTTTGTTTAGGTTCTTTAAAAATTGAGGTAACATTTACAATAGTTAACCATTAGCCGTTTTATTTATTTTCTATTCTATTCTATATTTGATCTATTTTATTTTATTTTATTTATTTATTTTAATTTAATTTAATTTAATTTAATTTATTTTATTATTTATTTTATTTTATTTTATTATTTATTTTATTTTATTTTATTATTTATTTAAGTAAGGCTAGGCCCAACATGGGGCTTGAGCTCACAACCCCAAGATCAAGAACGGCATGTCCCACCGCCTGAGCGGGCCAGGTGCTCCAGCCTAACCCATTTTGAAGTCTACATGCAATTTAATGGTATTCAGTACATCCACAAAGCCGTGCAACCATCACCACTCTCTAGTTCCAGAACATTCCCTCGTCCCAGAAAAACCCGTCCCCATTAGCCGCCATCCCTGCTCCTCCCCCAGTTGCTGGCACCTACCAACCACCTTTCTGTCTCCGTGGGTTTACCTGTTCTGGACGTTGCACACGCATATTGCAGGTGTGCATAGGAGAGGTGCTGCCGCGTGTGCTGTCAGTGCCAGACACCCCAGCACCCAGGCACCAGCTGGAACGAGGCTTCTGGCCCAGGGCTGGCCCCTGCTCCCCCTCCCTTGGCAGAGGTTGGAGCAGTCTGGGAGCTCTGCCAGCTGTTTCTACCTCTGCTGTCCCTCAGCATTGTCTCTTGGAGACTCTGAAGCCCCTTTCTGTGGTGAAGGCGGCCCAGGCAGGAGTTGGCGCACTTTTCCTGGAAAGGGTCAGATAGTGCGCTGGGTTTCATGGGCCAGGTGGTTTCCTCCCCATCTATGTGCAGGCCCTGTGCTGGGCTTTGGGGCTGCAGTAGTGAGCAAGAGCATCCCCATCCTGGTCAGGACCCCATCCTGGGCTCGGGCTCTAGTGGAACAGAAAGCGAGAACAAACAGCAGATGGTTAAACCGACAGCATGACTGAGCCTGGAGGGATCAACCAGCTTCCAGGAAACAGCTTGCTTAGTGTCAGGGAAGGCGGCTCTGAGGAGGTGATGCTGAGCCTCAAGATAAGGAAGGAACCAGTCTGCAAGTCGATGGGGAAAGGGAGCAGCAAGGAGACAGCAGGTGCAAAGGCCCTGAGGCAGCAAGGCTGGACGTGGTCGAGCACAGGGGACAGGGCTCCAGCCCAGTGGGGGCAAGAGATGAGAGTGAAGTACTTGCTGGAAGAAGGGCTTGGGTTCACCTGTCCCCTGACCCAGGCTTTTCTGGGCTGGGGCTTGGGACCTGCCTGCTAACCGCTCGTTCTCTCTTCCCTTAGTACATGGGCTGCATTGAAGTCCTCCGCTCCATGCGCTCTCTGGATTTTAACACCCGCACCCAGGTGACCAGGTGAGCCTTTGAGACTGGCTGCTGTGGGGCTGGGGGTTCGGAGCAGCTGGGGGAGGGCTGATGTGAGGCTTCAGAGAGGCGGCTCAGACAGTTTGCCCTGGGAACCCAGGATGGCAGGCGCAGTGACATTCCCTCCTGCCTTGGGGAACAGTGTGGCATGGACTTAGAAGGGCCTTGGGGTGGGGCACGTGGTGTCTGAGTCCCAGCTCTGTCCTGCCCTCCAGGTGCCCCTGCTCCCCAGACCCTGGATTCCCTCTGTCAGGTAGAGATGACACCTGGTCCCTCCCAGTGTGTGGGTCCTACAGGGGTGCCGGGAGACGCCTCAGCAGGTCGTGGGATGCGCGGGTGCTGGCTGGTTCCCGGTTAGGACTCAGGTCAGGGCTGGAAGGGGCTGGGAGCCTGTCCAGGGCGGGGATGGCATTTCTGTTGTCCGTGCTTTTTTTGGTGCAGAGAAAGCACATTGATCTCATGATGCTCTGAGCTGCCAGGAACAGAGTCATGAAGAGTCATGGCTACAACCAGGGCTGAGACAGAAAGGATCGACATCTTTTTGCATGTGAAAACTGAGTTAGTCCCTTCACCATAGACACAGAAACACTACTGAGATGTAATTCACACATCAAACAATTCACCCACTTGAAGTGCACAGTTCAATGTGTTTTGGTTTCCTCAACAGAGCTGTGCAACCACTCCCTCCCTAATTCCAGAACATTCCAGCAGCCCAAAAGGAAACCCTGACCCCATGTGTCACCCCCCATCCTCCCCAGCCCCGGGGCCCCCACGAGCCCCCTTCCCAACCGCGGATGAGCCCGTTCTGGACGTGTCACCCACGTGGGCTCACACCCCGTGTGGCCTTCTGTGTCTGGTTCCCTCCCCGAGCGTCGTGGGCTCGGGGTCCATCCCCGGGGCCGTGCATGTGGGCGCCTCGCTCCTGTTCTCGGCCGCGGGACGCTCCCGTGCGTGGGGGACACGCTGTGTGCATCTCTTCACCGGTCAGTGGACCCCTGGGTGGCTTCCACCTGTTGGTGACTATCATGATGTGTGCTGCTATGAACAGGTCTTGGGTGGATGTGTGTTTTCATTTCTCCTGGGCGTGTTACCTGGATGTGGGAAGGGGGTGCTGGGCTGTGCGGTGACCCCACGTCTCGCTGTTTGAAGGGCTACTGGACCGTTTCCAGGTGGCAGCACCGTTTTACCTTCCCGCCGGCTGGATGTGAGGGTCTAGTTTCTTCTCGTGGCACCAGCATTTTTGGGGGTCTGGTGTGGTCTGATCTTTAGGGTCCTGTGAAGTTCTGGTCCTCCCCTGGGGGATTAGCAGTTTCACAGTGGTCTGTTCCGTACTGTCTGGGGGAGCCCAGAGCAAAGGTCACTCTCTCATGCCACAGATGGGGATCTTGACTGACCTGTGGCCACATGGAACTTGGGGTCTGGGCTCAGGAGCTATGCTGGTCCCCCTGAATCCGACCCCTGTGGTTTTAAGTTGGGCTGTGGCCCAGGGATGCGTTGGTCACTGAGAAGGAGGTGCCAGAGGACGAGAGCCAAGGGCGGGGTGTGTGGGGGTGTCTGCAGGTACAAATGGGCTGGGGGCTGGTAGCCCCTGGTCCATGGCTCTGTTCCTTCCGCCTCTTTCCAGGCACCCTAGCTTCTGTCCCTCCTGTGAGCCCCACACTCTCTGAGCTCCTGCCTCCTCCCCACACCCCACCTCCAAGCTCACTAAGCCCCTCCCCCTCCCCCCACACAGGGAAGCCATCAACCGGCTTCATGAGGCAGTGCCTGGTGTCCGGGGCTCCTGGAAGAAGAAGGTGGGTGAGGGGCTTGTGGTCCCTGAGTGGTGCTGGTGGGCGTGGTTGGAGCAGCGGGGGCTGCCATGGCCATCCTTGGACCCTGCCCCAGCCAGAGCCCCTCTGCAGCCCTGCCTTCCCCAGTGCCCAGGCTCCCCAGCCTGCAGGCCCGGCACTGCCCTCTGCCCCGTCCCCATCCCCAGGCCCCCAACAAAGCGCTGGCCTCCATCCTGGGCAAGAGCAACCTGCGCTTTGCGGGCATGAGTATCGCTGTGAGCATCTCCACCGATGGTCTCAACCTCTCTGTGCCCGCCACACGCCAGGTGAGTGCCACCGCCTGCACCCCCAGCCCCACGCAGGGCAGGTCCAGGGACTTGCGGGTGGAGCTGGAGGGATGGTGGGTGCAGGGCTGTGTGTGGACACGTTTACCTGGAGATGTGCTGAGACCCGCCCCCCGAGCCAGGAGCTGAGCTGCCTTGTGGCAGCCACAGTCCGCATGAGGCGCTGGGGCCAGGGACGCGGCCAAACCCCCACAGTGCCCATGACGCCCCTGCAGAGAGTGACCCAGACCCAGTGTCAGCAGTGCCCAGGGGGAGGGCCCTGGCTTGGAATCTTCTGGTGGAAACAAACCAGCTAAATAAGGGAATAATTACAAATTCCAAAAAGGACCATGGGGCCAGGCGAGGGATGTTGTAGGCACTGTGACCTAGCAGGGGCGTCATGGAGGGCTTCCTGGAGGTGGTGACACTAGGGAGGAGGTGAGCAGAGGACATCCCAGGCAGAGGTCCCCCTGTGGGGGGACAGAGCTGGACAAGTCACAGCTCTAGGATTTGTCCAGAGAGCACTGTGACCCCGGGAAGTGCCGTGACCTGCGGCTGTGGGGGCACAAGGAGGGAGGGAGCCCAAGCCAGGGCATCTGTGGAGAGCCTGGGGAGGAGGAGAGGAACGTGAGCACTCAGGACAGGAATGGATGGTGGCAAATGAGCACAGAAATGAACATGGAAACGAGTGTGCAAATGTGCACACAAGACAGCATGCAAATACGGGACGCATGCATAAGTGAGCGTGCGAATGAGTGTGCAAGTGAGCACATGGTGCCGGTGTGGGGACTGGAGCCTCGGGGGGGTCCCGCCTGTGTCTCTCCCTGCCTGCAGGGCTGCACTGGGTGTGCAGATGAGTGTGCCACACCTAGGTGTCTGTGTGAGTGGGCCTGTCAGGGTGTGAAGAGGGCTGGAGCGTGTCTGAGTGTGTGGCTCTGGTCCGTGTGTGAGCATCTGTGGAGAGGAGCGTGTCTGCGTCTCTGTGTGTGACTGTGCGTGTCTGTACATGTGGCTATCTGGGAGTGTTCACGTGCACGCGTGAAGGTGGGTGTGGCCTCTGCATCCTGCCCTGGGGGGCTCCCCATCCAGCTGCATCCCGGGTCCCCTCCCCGTGGCCCTGGCCCAGTGACCAGCCCCAGCCGTGTGTGGGGGAGGCAGCCCCCGTGACCGCTCCCGTGACCGCGTGTGTCTCTCTCCGGCCAGATCATTGCCAACCACCACATGCAGTCCATCTCCTTCGCGTCAGGTGGCGACACGGTAAGGCCAGGGCTGGGGGTGGACTTCCGGTCCCCTCTGCCTGTCCCTGCATCGTAGTGCTGGAGGCTGGCATCCTGGCCAGGCTGGCCCGGGCGGGTCCAGCTGACCTCTCCCCCTGCCCCTGTCCTCTCTCTCCCCAGGACATGACGGATTATGTGGCCTATGTAGCCAAGGATCCCATCAACCAGAGAGGTGGGGTCCTGGCGGGGGTGGGCGGGGGCCCTGTGGCTGGTGGGCCAGCACAGGCCATGCTAATGCCGCGTGACAAACAACCTCTGCAGCCTGCCACATCCTGGAGTGCTGTGAGGGCCTCGCCCAGAGCATCATCAGCACCGTGGGCCAAGCCTTCGAGCTGCGCTTCAAACAGTACCTGCACAGCCCCCCCAGGGTGGTTGTGCCCCCAGAAAGGTACCAGGCCCGCCTCGTCCCCGTCTTCCCGGAGACAGCGTGTCACCTGGCCGAGGCCAGATGCACAGTCCCCAGCTCACCTCCTCCGTGCTGGGTGCAGGTCTCCGCTTTGTCCCGTCTTTCGTCTGTGCGCCCCTGTGGGCTTGTGGCTCAGCCGCTAGGTCCCCATTCCCTCGTCTGTAAACCCGGGATGAACACATCCTGCTCTGCCCTGGCCAAGGCGAGGAATCGGGGAGCCAGTCCACAGCTGCTGTCACCCCCAGGCTGGGCGGGGGTGGCCCACACTTCTGCAAAGGGCCGGTCAGTGTTTTTGGCTCTGCGGCCAGACCACCTGTCTCAGCCGTTGTGGCAAAAGCTGCCGTGGGGGGATGCTTAAAAGGATCAACGGGCCCCGGGCCAGGAAATCTGTATTTATAGACACTAAGTTTTGAATTTCATGTGACTTTCACATGTCATCAAATATTGTTCTTTGGATATTCTCTGAATCATTTAAAAGTTCTGTGGCTTAAAAGAGAAGAAACCATTCTTAGCTCCTGGGCTGCACGCATACGGGCAACTGGCCAGATTTGCGGAGCCCTGCTCTCAGCTACTTAATGCACTAGGTAGAATAACACACTAATACAATAATACGCTTAATACACTAGCATTATTTAGCTAGACTAAATAATGAGTAAATGAATGTGTTGGAAATTCAAATATGCGCGTGATAAGGAAGAGGCAGGAGCAGACAGCCGTGTGAGTCTCCATCGCACTGCCCCTCACCTGCGTGCCTGGGCCTCCTTCCCCACAGGTGCACACCTCTGTCACACACGCACACCCGTGTCTGCCTCCCGTGGCGGGGCATCTGCAGCCGCCTCTGCCTCGCGGGGGCTGTGGGGGGGCCCTCTGGTGCCAGCAGCTTCCCTGTTTTGCTCTCAGGACCCACAGGTGCCATTGCAGGGACGTTGCAATGCTGAGGGCACTTCCATCCTAGCCCCGCGGCTCTGGGTGCAAGCTGGGGGTAGTGTTCTCTCTCGGGGTCTCCCTGGCAGGGCCAGAGATGGGTGGAAGGGAGCGAGGACCTGCTGTCGTTCAGCAGAAGTGCTGGAAAGTGCGCGAGATCCTGTTTTGTGGAGGAGGGAAGAGCACCCAGGTCCCCCTACCCTCAGCCTGAGAGGAGGCAGGGTCTGAGTCCCCGAGGCCTGGCTCGTCCCACCCACTGGGCGAAGCTCAAGCCACAAGGCCTTGGCACCCTCTTGGGTGTCCCCCGTTCTCTCTGCCCCTGAGTCCTGGGGCTCCTGCCTGTGCTCCCGCTTGCTGTCTGTCCCCAGGCTGACCAGGCCAGAGCAGTCGGCCTGGGGGGACGAGGAGGAAACGGAACACAATTACTACAACAGCATCCCAGGGAAGGAGCCGCCCCTGGGTGGGCTGGTGGACTCCAGGCTCACCCTAACTCAGCCCTGTGCCCTCGGGGCCCTCGGAGCCCTCGGCCAGGTCAGCCTCTGTGGACCTCATGGGTGGGGGCTGGGGGGGCAGGGTTGTCCCCGGGCGCTGACTCCTTGGGCCTTACCTTAGAGCTTCCTTCTGCTTCTCCCCGATCCCAGTGGAGGGCCCTGTGCTTCCTTCCCCCCTTCCTCCGATGCACAGAGCGTCTGGCCCTCCTCCAGACTCAGACACTGAGTAGACCCTTGTATCAGCAGTTTCATCAGGGCCGTGAAATGGGAGTCCAGGGGCGGTAATGGGAATATACGATGGGGAGACTCAGTCTGTGGTCAGGAGGACTTTCATGAGGAAGCAGTGTTTGGGCCGGGCCCTGACGGGTGAATAGGAGTTGCTTGGGAGAGTGGCACAGGGAGGGGCATCCAGGTGGAGGGAACGGCATGTGGCAGGTGGCAGGAAGGTGCAGACCGCCTTCTGGAACCGAGAGGGCAGCTGAGGCTGCAGCAGAGGTGGGTGGAGGGATGGGGAGGGCCGTTTCAGAGCCAGGGGCTGGGGGAAGGGTGGAAGAGCTGTTTTAGCTTTTAGAGCTTTAGAGCTTCCCACTGTCTCCAACCATGCAGGAGGGTGGGGCGCTGGGGGGGCCTGGGTGCTGGGCTGGGTAGGGGGCCTTGCACAGGGCCGGAGGCCCCCTCACTCTCTTTTTCAGGGGCTATCTCCTGCTCGAAGGGACGCGCACAGCCTGCCGTGGGACCTGGGCCCCTCCGGTACCGGTAGGTGCCCAGCCCCTCCCCACACTGTCTCCCCTCTCACCTGTGAGACTACGCTCACTCCCCCAGCTCTTAGGAGGGTTGCCGACATCCGTTTCTTTTTATTCCGCACAGACTAGTTTCATTGCATTTTGGGGAGAGATACTGCATTTACGTGGTTCAAAATGCCAGAGCATAAAAAAGCATTCAGTGCGAAGTTGCTGGGCCCCCCGCCCACATCTGCCTATCCACCTCCCCAGTCAGGCCGCCCACTGTTGGTAGTTACTAGTTTCCATTATTTTCCATGTATATTCAAGCCAATTCAGATGCGTGCACCATCTTCCGCAGCCCTACAGATGGTGCTGTGCTGTGCACAGGTGCACCCCGCTTTCTCCGCGCAGCCATCCACGTAGATGACCTCCCCCTGTCCCCACAGTGGACTCCTCCACCCTGTGCAGGGTCTTTTCTATTCTGCTTCTACTTGACTCCTAGGCATGTGGGTAGACCTGCAGGTGTCTGCTGTGACATCAGCATGAGGTGGGTTCAGGGGTCTCGGTAGAGTCTGTCCCCAGGAGAGAGGCTGCTTGTTCTGTTGTGATGAAATCACGCAGTTGCCCTCCCATCAAGATACCATGGGCTTTTGTTTTAACAAAATGATTGCGTTTTCAGCCCATGAGCATCTTATCCCATTACACATAATTAGATTCCTGCGCCCCACTGCCTGTCTGGGAGCTCGCCCGCCGTGGCACATTTGTGTCTCCTTTCAGACTTGGGGAGAAGCAAAAAGATGATGGCCCTCAAGGCATGCTGCTCCTTTTTTTTTTTTCTTTATTTTTTTTAAAGATTTTATTTATTTATTTGAGAGAGAGAGAGAGAGAGAAACAGCATGAGAGGGGAGAGGGGCAGAGGGAGAAGCAGGCTCCCCGCCAAGCCGGGAGCCCGATGCGGGACTCGGTCCCGGGACTCCGGGATCATGACCTGAGCGGGAGGCAGTCGCTTAACGACTGAGCCCCCCAGGCGCCCGGGGCACGCTGCTCCTTGCTCCCCATGAGGTCCTTCTGAGGCCTGCAAGCTCTCGCCCAGGCCCCGCAGTTTCTCACCCCTGCGGCCCCTCTTGCCAGGCACGGAGGGTCTTTCAGCCCTGTGTCTGCCCTGTGGAGTCCGGGCTGGAGGACAGCCAGGAGCAGAGCCTGTTAGTCGAGCTACCAGAGGCTTCGAGGCTGTCCGCCCACCAGCCCCACGGCAGCTGCCTGTTCCCCCACGGCCTCCCTAACATCTGTGCTGGGTTTGGGTTTTGTTTTTGTTTTTCTTAGATCTTCCCAAATAATCTGGGCATTTTCGTGACTCCCAGCGTGGTGCTTAAAGACCACTTTTGTCATTGGGCACCCAGCAGGTGCCCAGCTAAGATCTGGCCCTGGTACCTGGGCTGACTGCCCCCTGTCACCCCGGACTCCCAGGGCTCCCCAGCATCTCCCAGCCCCGATCCTCTGCACAAGCTGCTAGTGCTTCTTGTTATGCCTTTCCCTGTTCTCTAGCCAAGAACTCCTACCAGTACGTTCATGCCCCAGCTCCGATGTCCCGGAATTCTCTCTCAGTCTGGATTCCTACAACCCGGGCTTCTTCCCTCTTCCCTGGCCCTGGCTATGAGAGGCTGGGAGAATTGGTGCCTGCCTCCAGGCAGACCAGGAAGCCTGGGCTCAGACCCCTCTGCCCACATCAGCCACCCAGGGCTGGCACATTGTCAGCACTCATATTGAATCATAATATTCTTTTTATAAATATTTTATTTATTTATTTATTTATTTATTTTTATTTGAGAGAGGGAACACAAGCAGGGGGAGTGGCAGGCAGAGGGAGAAGCAGGCTCCCCGCTGAGCAGGGAGCCCGATGTGGGGCTCGATCCCAGGACCCCGGGACCATGACCTGAGCCGAAGGCAGACGCTTAACGGCTGAGCCACCCAGGCGCCCCTGAATCCTAACTTTTGCCATATACTGTTCTAAGTTTTTAATCCTCAGCCCTATTTGTAAAGGAGCTACTCCTATCTCCCCACTTCACCGAGGAAGAGACTGGGGCGCAGACTTGCTCGTGTCCACAGAGGGCAGGTGGAGCTGGTATGTGAGTGCACACGTCCACAAGGGTAAAGATGTAGCTGGCATAACATGGATGTAATGTAAACTGTAGGGCCCTCGGGCTGGATATGGCCATGCAGTGTATTGAAATCATTATTTCTCCGCCAAGGATTAAAAACGGTGATGTTTAGAAATGAATAGACAGTTCTGAGAAAAATACACACGAATGCTTTCTGAACCTGGGAAGAGAAGCTCAGCCTTGCTCAAAATACGAGAAATGGAAATTAACATCCCCTAGATGCCATTTCTCACCTCTCAGCCCAGCAAATCCCTGGCACCTGGTAGGACACCTCGGGCGATGCCAGAGGACTGGTCAGGATCCAGCAGAATCCGAGCGGACCCAAGTGAAAGATTCCTCTGAGGGTAACTTTTGCTGTCTCTGTGACTTTTGAACCATGGCAATGCTGCACACACTCACAATTAAGAAGGAAAGAAAGGAAATCCTAAAATAGAACAGGAACAGAATCAAGTGACCCATGTGTCATGTGGATAACAGAATTACAGGGAGACCAGTTTCATCGTGATTATTTTTTGGATGTGGGCATTTAACATAAGCGTGGGGCTTTCCGCCACCGTCCTGCCTGGTGGCAGCGGCCCCTCCCCGGGGGGTGGCCTTCTAGTGCCCCACAGCCCCTGGACGAACATTTACGGGGTCTGTCACTCCAGACGGTGCTGCGCAAGCAGGCCTACCGCTTCCTGGAGGGCGGCAGGTGTGGGTGGGGCTCCCGGTGGGGTCCTTCCTGCTCCCCTCTCCTGGGCTCCCCCAGCTGACCCCTCCACTCCTCCTGTGCTCCCCAGGCCCACCGGGGGACGGCTACGTGCAGGCCGATGCCAGGGGCCCTAGCGACTATGAGGACCACCTGTACGTCAACACACAGGGTCTGGAAGCCCCAGAGGCCCTCCAGCCAGAGGACAGTCCCAAGAAGGATCTGTTTGACATGCGTATGTGGGGGCAGGCCCCCTAGCAACCCGTGGTCTGATGGGGTGGCCCAGCCTTCTTCCCCTTGGGACTTTGCAAGTTGGTGAGGGTGGGGTGGGGGGACTCCCTTATCTGGTAGGGGAAGCTCTGGGGGGCCCCCTCCCTGGGACGCTTCAGTTTCTTGGGGTAACCCCGTTTCCTCTCTATAGGGGTCCCTAGTCTGAGGGGAGGCCTTGAACGAGTGGCTGGTATGGGGGGAGGCTCAGGCCCCTCTTCTCTCTGAGACTCCTCAGTCTCTTGGGGGAGGCTTAGCTCCTTCCCTCTGGGTCTCCCCGGTCTGATGAGGGAATTTTATCTCCCTCCTCTGTAGTTTGAGGAAGTGGGCCCAAACCCCTTGCACTGGGAATCCTGGCCTGTTAGGGGAGGCACCCTTGGGGGGACTGCTCCTTTGGGGGGACCCTAGTCTAATGAGGCAGGCCTAACCACATGTTGATAGAGTGAACCACTGATGGGGGAGCCCTGTCCTTCCTTCCCTCTGGGACACTCCGGCCTGAGGGAGGACTCAGTCTAATGGAGGAGGCTTGTGCCCAAACACCCTCCTTACCTGCCACAACACCAACACCACACTCTTCCACCAGCACCGTGGGGCTCTTGGCTCCATGCTGGCCCAGGCAGGGTCATTTCCCTTCCTCAGGACACCTCCCTAGTGGGAGATCCCCCAAAACAAACCAAGCCAGCTGGAAATTTCTTCCTTCACAAAGCCTGCCAAGCCCCCTCTCCCACCATCTGATATGACACGAGCTAATGTCCATTGAGCACCCACTGTGCACAGTGGGCTAAAAGCGTGGCCCCTGCTGGCTCCTCACAACAATCCTCAGATGGGAAAGGAGGTGCCCCAGTGTGTGAGCTTCTGAGGCCAGCTGTCCCCTTGGGGTGACCAGATGGCCCAGCAACCCCAGCAAGCCATCCATTGAAAATTCTGGGTCTGCGTCTGATTTGTCCAGCCTGGGTCAGTGGGGGGGTGTGTGAGATGAAGATGTTGACTGGCCAGGCCTGGTCGCGGGTCCTGCTAGCTGGAGGCTCGGTCAGCTACACCTGGACCCCTGAAGGAGTCAGGCAGGAGGGATTCCCGAGGGATAGAAAGGGGAAGGCGCGTGGGGGCACAGAACCTAGCTATGCAGGGTCGGGGTCAGGGCTGGGGTTCTGATCTGTGCTGCCCCACGTCCAATTTTGCAAGGAGGAGACAGGCTCAGAGAGGACGAGCGGCCTGTCCACTGTCGCACTGGTGCTCTGCAGACCGCTAGCAGCTTGTCTGGGAGAGTGTGCAGGAGAAAGGCATGCCCGCGACGGAGATGCAGTGTTGTATGAGGGGCTGGCCAGTGTGATCAGACAATCAATGAGCCAGGAGGCATACGCATTGGGACCGAAGCCAAAGTGACAAGACAAGAAAAAGAAGGATGTGTACACATTGGAGAGAAAGAAGCACTTTATTTGCATATACATTATGGGCATATACATAAAAATCCAAGAGAACATCCTGCATAGCTCCTAGAACCCAACAGACGGTGAAGGCAGCACGCAGCGAGCACATGAGCACACACACACAGTGCACACTCAGCACACAGCCGCTGACGTACGGTGGGCTCAGTGCAAGGTCTGATGCACCCTAGGCGCTCAGTTCCCCAGGGTAGGGCGACCACCCGGACCCTTCCCTTCCCAGCCCAGACCCCTCCCTTGCCAGCAGGGGGCAGCTGTCCGCCCCCGCCTCCTGCACTTCGTCCTCGCCTGCAGGACCCTTCGAGGATGCTCTCAAGCTGCACGAGTGCTCTGTGGGGACGGGCACGGCGGCAGCGCCCCTTCCCTTGGAAGACCAGTGGCCCAGCCCCCCGACCCGCCGGGCCCCCATCGCCCCCACGGAGGAGCAGCTGCGGCAGGAGCCCTGGTACCACGGCCAGATGAGCCGAAGGGCGGCGGAGAAGCTGCTTCGAGCCGACGGGGACTTCCTGGTGCGCGACAGCGTCACCAACCCTGGGCAGTACGTCCTCACGGGCATGCACGCGGGGCAGCCCAAGCACCTGCTGCTCGTGGACCCCGAGGGCGTGGTAAGGTGGGGCACAGGGGCTGGAGGCGGGGCCGGAGTTGGGCGGGGCGGGGGCGGGTTCGTAGGCGGGCCGGGGCGGGGGAAGGTCCGCAGGCTGGGGGCGGGGCCGGGGCGGGGGAGGGTCCGCAGGCGGGGGCGGGTAGGGGAGCGTCCGGAGGAGGACAGGGTCCCTGGCGCCCACCGCAGCGGACTTTAGGCTTAATCAAGTATTTTCCGGATTACAAAGCCCTTTACGTTTACAGATTCTGTTCCCGTTGACGAGGTAATTTAGAATTACAAAGCATTTTCCACTTTAACAAGAATTTTAGGATCTGTAAAGAAGTTCCGAAGTCCATACAGCATTTTGGGGGTTACAAAACCTTTTCCAATTTCAAGGCCTTTCCGGGTTTACAAAGCACTATATTTGATGCACTTTTCTCCCACGTTCCATCAGCATTGTGTATCTTACAAATAATGTTGTCTTTGAGTGATAAATACGATGTTTTTCTTTTCTAGTGTATTTCAAGGCTCACAAAGCATGGTTCAATTTACAAGGAGTTCTAGGGTCTACAAGTTACTGAATGCATACTTTTCTCTCACTTTGACACCTTTGAAGCCTGCTTGTTTTTTAACTCGGTCTTTGAGCTGCCCTGATTATTTTGCTGGGAGGTTTTCCCCTTTCCTTGTGGAACATGAAACAGTGATGCATCTTAACATTGCTTTGAGTCCGTTTGAACTTTGGTATTCTACAGTTCCTAAAGCATTTTGGGGTTTACAGAGCATTTTTAAATTTACAAGGAGCTCTGGGGTTCATGAAGCATTTTGCAGCGTCCAAGGGTCTTGGGGTTTACAGGTTATTTCCCGGGGGAAGGAGCTTAGGGGTGTTAGAGTCTTATCAGGTGCTTTTACTGCATCCAGCCCAAGCCTCAGAACCGCCCCGGGGAGCGCCATCCCCTCTCTGTCTGTCCGTATGGGTCACACTCCCATGATGGGGCCGAAGCTCCGGGGTCTTGTTCTCAGTTCACCTTGTGTCTGGCTCACCGCTGCAGCCTCTGGCCTCCCGTGTGATATCAGAGCCTCCTGGGCCCCATTCCCTCTCTGCTAAGTGGATCTACCTGATAGGATCAGCAACTCCTAAAGCTCCAGAAACTTCAGAACTTCCTCAAATACTTGGTTAAAGGGCAGACTCCCGGGTCCCAACCCCAGTTCCAAAGAAATAGACAGTTTTGCCATGGGGCCCGGGAATGTGCCTTCTAAGCCTGTGTCTGTTGAGCCTGCTTTGCCCATGAAATACTTGACAGTGGGGCCAGAGGGTTACCTTCCGTGGTGCATGTGGTGATGCTCAGATCTTCTCATTCTAAGAGGCAGCAGAGATTGCTTTCCATTAGGTGTTCCCAAGATTTTCTGGGGCTGCCCTACCAAATGGCCACTAACGGATTGGGTTAAACAGGGAAGAGTCTTCTTCCCTGGCTCCGGAGGCTGCAGGTCTGAGATGCAGGTGTCATGGGGCGGGCTCCTGCTGAGGCTCCGAGGGAAGATCCTGTCCAGGCTCCCCCAGGTCCTGGAGGTGCCACAGCCCTTGGTGTCCCTGGCTAGTTGACACATCCCTCTGGTCCCTGCCTTGCCTGCTTTCTGTGTCCAACTTTTCTGCTCTCATAAGGACACCAGTCATTGGCTTTGGGGCCACCAGAATGAGCTCATCTCAAGACCCTTCACTTAATCACATCTGCAAAGACACTTTTTCCAAATAAGGTCCCATCTGCATGTTCCAGGGTTGTGACACAGACACATCTTTTTCGGGGCCACCGTTCCACCTGCTGTAGGAGGGATGGCCCCAGAATCCTGTGGTTTTGGAGCCCACGTCCTTGCTAACTCTGGAATTCTGAGTCTGATTCCATGGAAGCTTCTGAGCCAGCAGTTCTCAGACTTGAGCGTGCATCAGACTCACAGGGAGGGCTCCTGAGAATGCAGATTCCCATTCAGCAGGACTCTCCAGCAAGCTCCCGGTGGTGCTGATACTGAGGCCTCTGGCCCTGCAGGTGCGGACCAAGGATGTGCTCTTTGAGAGCATCAGCCATCTGATCGACTACCACCTGCAGAACGGGCAGCCCATCGTGGCTGCCGAAAGCGAGCTGCATCTGCGCGGTGTGGTCAAACGTGAGCCCTGAGCCAGGTGTGTAGTCCACCCCCACGGGCTTGCAGCATTTACCCATTCACCCAGTTTTTTTCTCATTTTAAAAATTAAGAAAGAATTCACAAACCACACAATTCACCCATTTAAAAGGTGCAACTCAGTGGTTTTTAGTGTGTTTAGAGATGTGCAATTATTCTCTACCTAATTCCAGAACATTCCATCGCCCCAAAAGGCGCCCCGCCCCCATCACCCCCTCCTCTCCCCATCTCCATTCTCCATTAGTCGTCACTCCTTGTCACCCCGCCCCAGCCCCCGGCCCCCACGAGCCCCCTTCCCGTCCCGTGGATGAGTCTGTTCCGGACGTATCACACATGTGGACTCACAGCCCATGTGACCTTCTGTGTCTGGTTCCCTCTCGGAGCGTCGTGGGCTCAGGGTCTGTCCCCGGGGCAGCGTGTGTGGGCTCCTCGCTCCTGTTTGTGGCCCAGTGACGCTCCAGTGCGTGGATGGACACATGTTTACCTATTCACTGTCGATGGATATTTGGGTGTTTCCACTTTTTGGCTATTACTAATAATGCCACTCAGAACATGCATGTCCAGGTTTTTGTGTGGATGTGTTTTCGTGGCTCCTGGGTCTATACCTAGGAGTGGAATTGCTGAGTTGTCATGGTAACTCTGGGTTTAACTGGTGATAAAACATCTCTGGGAGGAGGTGGCTCTACACCAGAGGAAGGACTAGGGTGGCCTGGGTCTGTCTGGTGGGCGTTCAAGGAGAGGTGGGGGAGATGGAAAGGTAAACCCTTGGCCTTTTGCTTTTGGTGCTGGGGGGCCATGGGAGGGTTTTGAGTTGGGGAGGGACAGGCAGGTCTGGGTGATTCCAGGACCTTTGTGGTGAGAGCCTGGGGCTTCTGGGGGCGGTGGGGGGTGGTTTAGGTGGGAGAAGGTGTGGCTGAGCTGGGCTGCACTGACTTGGGGAGGAGGGAGAGATAGGACCTGGGATTTGGGAAGCCAGGAGCTGGGGCTTCAGCTGGGGACGGAGGGGCTGCAAGGGAAGAGGGTTGTGGAATTTCCCCCAGGGCTCCGCAGAGAGGAGTTTCCAGCCAGGTTGGGCTGCTCTCCAGTCCCCCTGACCATGGCCCCTTCCTGCCTCCCGGTCCCCAGCCAAGCCTGAGGCCGCGGGCACAGATGGGATTTCCAGCCTGGGGACAGGCTTTAGGGGCTGGGAGTGGGCACATGGAACACTGACATGATCTGCTGTGCCTTTGGGGCTGTGTGTTTGCACGTGTTAGGTTAGGATGTGCTTCCCTTCCATCCCCAAAGGGGTGTGTGACCTGAGAAACAATGCCCATGGCAGCAGTGGCCGAGTCCAGGCATGGTGCTTGGCACCTCCCAAAGCCTCCTAAGTCCCAGGTGGTTCTGAGCATTTTCGCAGAAGAAGGAAGGGCACAGAGAGGTGAAGGCACTACCCTAGGTCACACTGCAAGGACACGGGGGAGCTGAGACCTCTCCCTGGCCCCTCAGCCTGAGGACCCTCACTGGGCCCCGTAACTAAGATTCGGGGGGCCACTTGGACCCAGGTCTCTGGTTGCTGTCACAGCTGACCCTTGACCTCTCCTCCTCTTTCTTCCCCAGGTGATGGTTCTCAGCTCCCGCTCTGCAGATGCTCCCTGTCGTGGCCTTACGGGCTCCTCAGCCTGTCTCTGGACCCTGGTCAGGCTGGAGCTGCCGCTGTCTCTCCTTCCTCCGGCTGGGCCTCTAGATCTTCCTTCTCCAGCCGGCCCTGGGCTGGGCCAGTGAGGCCAAGAGATGGGGGCCAAGACCCTTTAATCCCACCGACCCCTGCCTGCCTCCACCCTCTGCCTGGGGTGAGGGTGTCCATACCAAAGACAGAACTTTTCTCACCTTTAAAGAAAATATATTACAGAAACCCAGTCCTCTCTCTCCGAGCCCTGGCCAGGGTCCCCACCGGGTTCAGGAGGCACCATCTCTCTCCCCAGAGGGACTTCAGCTCACCTCTCTGGAAAGATGGATTCCTGTCCTTGACAGCTCAGTTTCTCCACCTGAAAAATCAGTGCACAGTTGTCTTTTATGGGGAAGAATTGAGGTGTTTGGGGTCCTCAGGCCAGGATACCTGTGGATGTTGAAGTGTAGGGGGGAAGCTCAGGGCTCAGCTGGGACAGTGGGGGGCATCCAGGCAGCACCCGGACAACCTGCCCTGGTGGGGGGTGGCCACGAGGGCCCTGCCCTCCCAGCTGTCCACCTGTACTGGACATTTGGGGTCTGTTTGTAATTACACATGGGGATGATGGTGAGGAAGCCAGCCTGCCTGACACTGAGCGGCCCTTGGGTTGGGAGGCCAAGGCCAGTCTCCCAGGTGGAAAGCCAAGGCACACGTGAGTCCTCCTGCAGCTGGAGGGTGTGGGGGATGGAGAGGAGGGTGCAGGCCTGGAGGTGTGTCCCTGTGGGGGAGCACTGTCCCAGCACCACCCTCACACTTCTATTTCCACCCCCAGAAAAAGCACCCCACTCCTCTATTAGACACAGCCCTGTCCTCTCCTGGGAAACACTCTAGTTTATCTCCTATATGCTGTAGACCCCTGTCTTTCAGGATGCCCTGAATATCTGGCAAACGGTTCTTTGTTTCTCCTCTTGACTGCTCCTGACTTAGCCCTGAGTGTGGCCTGACTTCTTAGGTGTCCCCGCTCCGGTCTCCCCAGGAGCTCCTGCTTATCCCCAGTGCCTCTCCACACCTTCCCTCCCAGAGACCTCATCTCTCCCTGGGAGCCCTCCTCTGACTATCCTGAAGAGGCCTCCCTGACCCTCACCACACCCTGCCGGGGCCACACCTGTGCCCAGGGTCTGGCTCATCAGCAGGCCCCACCCCCATGCTCTGGGGGAGCCTGGTGAGGGTGTGGGGAGCAACGGCCACTCTGTCTGTAACTGGGGCGCGGGAGGGAGAAGCTATCAAAAGGCAGAGCCAGAGGGGACTCTGATGCCTCGTTTCTTACTTTAGAGGGGCCAGTCTGTCCATCCATCATCTACTCACCCATCCATCCATTATTCATTCCATTCATTGGTCCAGCCACCCGTCCCCCGATCCTGGTCTCCTTTAGTATGCCTGCGTTGGGCTCCCCTTATCTGCCAGGACCTCTGGTGGGTAATGAGGATGCAGCAGTAACCAAGACCGATCGGTCCTCATGGAGTCGACAGTCGAGTGACATCAAGCAGCAAATCACCGCTAAGTGTGTAATGACAATGTGAACTTAGCCCAGGAAATCCAGGAGGGTGGGAATGACACAGGGGATATGGTCTGGAGGATGAGAGCCCCAGGGGAAGAGTTCTAGGCAGGAGTGATAGCATGTGCAAAGGCCCTGTGGTGTGTAGCTCGCAGCACATTCAGAGACCAGAAGGATGACCTGTGTGGCTGGTGGTGGAGTGGAGGACACGGCTAGGGGGAAGCTTGGAGCCAGGGAGAGCTGCTGGGGAGCTTTGAAGCACAGAAATGATAGGGTTCCCAAGTGGGAAGTACACTGTTGGGGACAAGAGAGGAATGGGGGGCAGTTGGGAGAATTCACTGGGTTCTGGACTAGGGGAATCTCCAAAAGTATCCGATTTCAGAGACTTGTAGGCTAGAGAGGGGTCCTAATGCACTTTGTTCATTCATTCGGTCTCCTGTGTCCTCCTTCAAAGCCTCTATGTATCTGGCACACCTGCTGAAGCATGTGCTAAGAACGGCACCGGCTGTGGGTGCTCAGATTCTCCCCACTTTACAGAAGGGGGAGCAGAGGCTCAGAGGGTGAGGTGGCAGAGCTGGGATTCCCACCCCATCACCTCCCCTGTCCTGCTCTCTGAGCTGGGAACACCAGGTCTGGGGTGCCCATGCAGTGATGGGGGCCACGAGCCTGGCTGCCGCTGGTGCCCCATACTTGTCTCCTGCCCCCATCTACCCTCAGTTATTTGGTCGACAAATGCTCCTTGGGCCAGCCTTGTCCTCAGGGAGCCTTGGGGTGGGAGGCAGGCACCATGTAGCCTTGGACTGCTTGCTTCCTTTCCCTGAATTGGGCTACTCGCCTGTGCCTCAGTTTCCCTGTCTGTAAACTGAGGATTGTGGCCCTCCTCCACAGTGGGTTAACCTGTGCCTTGTTGGGCTGAGGTCTCTCCTGGGAGCTTTGGACAGGCCTTCCGGTCCCTCTTCCAGGGGAGGAGACAGAGCTCAGAGAAGCTGTTGGCCAGAGCTACATGGGTGTAAGGAGGCTTCTCAGGACTGGGGCTTTTTTCTTTGAGCTTCCTGGAGGACCTGTCTGCGGGTGGCTGCAGGGGGCGGTCTGGCTCCTGGCAAGCACCCTGTCCCTCTTCTCTCCCACAAGTTTAGGTCCCTGGGGGGTGGGAGTTGAGGACCAAGGCCATGCAGCATGAGGTGGTGTGACTCAGGGTGGGAGGGGCTGGTTAATACCACCTGGGCCCCTTTCCCAGCCTCCGCATCTCTGATCTCAGGAAGGCTGCAGCTTGGGGTGTGGGGGGAGTCCTGGGGATCTGCCACACCACACCAATCAGCCTCAGGGCTCTGCAGAGGAAGTAGGTTTTGTGGACTGGGTGAGGTTCCCGTTTAGGGACCACAAGGCTAACTAACCAGCTGGAAGGGCCCGCCTCCTGGACCCCGCACCTCCGAAGGCAGATGTTTGGGACCTATCCCGAGGTTCCTTGTCTCTCTGGGCCTTGGTTTCCCCAGCCCCCGAAGGTGATGGGGTGGGGGTCCAGGGGAGGGGCTTCAGCTGAGCTGGCTGTGGTGAGGGTCAGGTTCTGGGGTCCCTTTCGAGGCCGGGCCAGCCCCCTTTCTCACCAGTAGCAGCGTCCACGAAATGATGACCAGAGCTCCCATCACAGTGTTCTAGGCCCTTTTGTAAGCCCTCTGCATGTCCTCACCGGTTCATCCTCACCCTGGGGCTGTGGTGCCGGGGCAGTCTTTATGCCTGCAAACTGCCCCGGGGATAGAGGCAGAGGTCTGGGCACCTGCCAGCGGTCACACCACAGG